AGCTGTGGGAGATGGAATCCTACTAAATGACTTAGTGTATTTGTAGCAGCTTGCGATAATGGTAAAATTAAATACATATGTAATATATGCATTGTTTCTAAGCAGTGAATGTTAACTAAGCTAAAAAGTCTGCTATCCATATGGAACTTATTTCTTCTCTCTGTTCTCAGAATAGTACTGGCAAAACTGTAACTATAAAGCAAAAGAAAAAATGTAGGCCTTTTCCTCCTTTCCATACCTTAATTTTACCGAACATAGTTGGAATAAAACAGCTGGTGTTGAGAATAGGTCTTCCTGGAAATATATTTGATTTTTTTTCAGAACTGAAACAAATTTAACATGTAATGCTACAATGTTATATTCAGTACTTTTAGGATTTGTTGCTCTCTTAATGGCTCAATGAATTAGACATTTAAATTTCAGTTTTTAAAAGGTAACTCAAAATATACTGCTCACAAAAATAAAGGGAAAGCAAACCCCTTCAGTTCCATGGTAAAATGTTCCCTTTATTTTTTTGAGCAGTATATTTTACAATATCTAGAATTATTATCTCAGCATAGTTTCCAGGTTTTTTTAGATGTATCCATTAAGTCATTTTGCAGTCATGTTGTTTTTTTAATGGTGCAAGAATATGTCAAAAGTGCATTTCTCAAATAAAGATAAAATATTTATACAATCCAACATCTACAGTGATACTTAAATATTTACTGTATATCAAATATGTCTAACCCGCAGCCCATAGACTGCACGTGGTCCTGGACAGCTAGTGGAGCCCTGCAAGACAATAAAAATATATATATAAAAGGAAGCTTGTTATTTATATATATTAATTATATTTTTTATTTTGTATGTGGCCCAAGATAATTCCACTTCAGTCAATGCAGCCCGGGTAAGCCAAAAGATTAGACAACTGTGTGGTAAACTATTATTGACTTACTGTTTACATAGCACTGTAAATATATGTAATGCTTTGCAGAGTACATGAAGAGAGATATATGCCCTTGGCAAATTATAATATAATGTGGCTCAGAGAAAATGCAAGAAAAGTACAAACTTTTATAGTAAAAGTAAACAGAAAAGCAGAATGAAACTGCTTCAGCTAGATTAATTATAGATGGAATTACATAGAGTATGAAAACCAGAAAAGGTTTACCAAAAGTTTAATTTTAAAAAAAGTGGGATTGGGGGGAACAAAGAGTGATTGCATCTTGCAACTGTTTGAAAAATTGAAGAGCAAAAGTGTTTTTGAGGAGTCCTTCAAGATATAAAATATATTGCAACTAAAATAATGTGCAAAGATGTATCAATACCGTGTTTCTCCAAAAATAAGACCCAACCAGAAAATAAGCCATAGCATGATTTTTCATGATGCTTGTAATATAACCCCCAAAATAAGTCCCAGTTTATTTGGGCATGGGCGTGGCCAGCTGAACATCCCTCATAGCAGCACAGGCTGCTCTGACCCAGACCTTGAGCTCCCGGGGTGCCAGCGAAGCAGGTGGTGGGGCACATCTGGCCTGGTTGCAGGGCCCCGAGGTGCGCAGGTGCGGGGTGTGTGGGGCAGCTCCGAGGCTGGGCTCAGGTGGGATTGGACAGCAGGGACCAAGTGTGCAGGGACCATGGTGTGGAAGAAGCATGGTGTGGAGGCACACGATCCGGCCTGCGTGGCACCACCCCCAACCCGCCAGCTGCCTCGCCTCCCCTCGTGATGGAGGCACTGGCCTGCCAGATGTACCGGATGGCTGCCTGCCCAGTCCGTCCCACCATCTGTTTCCCCCCTCAGACCGAGTTAGCAGGGGCCGTGGCTGTAGGCCCCTGTGCACTTGCCGCCTCCTGTGTGAAAAAAATAAGACATTACCAAAAATAAGCCCTAGTGGGTTTTTTGGAGCAAAAATTAATATAAGATTCAGTCTTATATTCAGGGAAACACGGGTATTACATAAAAAACTCCCCTTTTATGACCTTGTAGTTCCTATTCAGGATAGAATCAGGAAGACTGGGAGGAGCTGAGCATTTACATAAAAAAAGAGACATTCTTGGAGAGTTTTCTTCAGATCCTCAAATAGGCAGAAGCCAGTACATATGCATTTGAGAATCAAAGCAAGAAGTAGTAAATAATTTGAGCATCTTATATGAAAATTTATGGCTTTTCTCTTATTTGTTCCATAATCAAGATGCAGGACTGTAAAAGTGGTGCATATAAATGTGGAGGGAAAAGCATATAGAGAGAGGAGTACTTGTTAATAAAGATGAATTCAGTGTTTATATGATAAAGGAAGCTACAGGATTGCAGTCTATCAAAATTGATGGATAGACTGTAGACTGATTGAGAAGTTCAACCAATTTCCAAAAACTGACACTACTCATTGTGTAATGGTCTACTGTTCTAAGGTTTCTTTTAAAAAAAGAAGTATGGATGTGGAGGAATATCTTGTGGTTGGTCAATATTTCTTAAGAAATGTAATGAATTTGTGTGAGTTGTATTTTCTTGAATAGTTAAAGAGCCAATTTGATGTAGTGGTTAAAGCATCAGGAGATATGAGTTCTAGTCCCATCTTAGACACAAAGTCCACTGGATGGCCTTGGGCTAGTTACTTTCTCTTAGTCCTAGGAATGAGACAATGGTAAATCACTTCTGAAAAACCTTGCCAAGAAAACTGCAGAGAATTGTCCAGGCGTTCTTCAAGAATCAGACACAATTTGAATAGAAGAAAAAATTAACACATGCTTTTCCCCCACATCAAATACTAGAGTGGATTTGACTCTGTTTGTGTTAGATTTCTTTTCCTCCAAAGCTGTTCTCAATCCCTTTGAAATCAGGCTTCCTTAGAACCATATCACAATTGATATGGAAATAAAAGGCAATGATGCAAAAGTAGATTCTCATTGTCTTCTAGGCTATTTTTCAATTTTCTAGTCCACACTATAAACCTGAGATGTCTTGATGATCTTCCATTCTATCCAGATCAAAAACTTTTTAAAAAAAACTGTATTAGCCAGTGTTGCCTAGCCCTAGCTGATGTTACCTACTTTGACTGATATTAAAATAGGTTAGGTTAAAACAAACAGTCAAGCTAATGTGATGTAGATTTTAAAAATTAGCACAAGGATATTTTGGCCAAATTACTACATAATCTATGAATGGACAGATAGCTATTGTTTGTCTTCAACTATTTCATACTAGTTTACAAATGGCTTTAACTGTAGTGTAATTTATTTGGATTTTGCTTAGCACGATTTGTTAATCTAGCTCTTTGTGATCTGTAAATCTTATTTTTTGCAAATCATCCTTGAAACAATTCATGTATATAATATAAGTTCACCCTAGGTAGCTTTTGTTACTTTGTCCTTACTTCTGAAATTTCCAAGCCTATCCCTTAGAAAAGCTCCGTAGCTCTCTAACTTGCTCAAGTGACCTAAATTAATCTTGCAAAATCCTCTTCAAAAAATTGTAATTTGGGTGGATATTTCTCTTCTTCCTGTTTAAAATATTATAAAATCAAAGCTTTATTTATTACTTTATGGTAAGTAGATGAAAACAATTGCCAGGCAGGGACACTTGAGACCAAAGGAGTGTGGTTATTCAGATACTTAACAAGATCCTTGTTAAGATCTGTTAGGTTTTTACAAACCCTTCCTTTTCATGCATATTCCGAAGGAAGAAAACCATCAGAAAGATTCAGTGAATACTCTTTGAGGTTTTTAAAATGCATTTAAACTTTTCAAGGTGATTTCAAAAGCCTTTAAGGAAGAAGAGTTTTTAGATACTCTTTTTCCTGCTAAGAGTATGTAAGAGGAAAATGAAAAATGTTTAACACAAGCAGACTTTATAGTCAGATCTTTAATACACTCTAAAAATTCAGCAGCACTACTTTACTCAATTGTTTGTTAACAATAAATAAGGAAGAAAAGAGTATATAAGTCTGAGAAGTGATTTTATGATGACAGCGGTGAAGATTACACCATACAAACACCTTGTTAGGATTTATGTCCACATTTCTAATATTTAGATTATTGATGCCATCTCAGTTTTGTACACAGTGCTTTTGATACCGCTTTCAGTCATGGGGCCAAAGATAATTTGCTATTATCAGGGTGGAGATGATAGTGGCTTATGAAGATATGAACAAAAGACTTTTCATTTTGTTTGCTAGGGTTATAATTGTAACAAATTATTATTATTGTTGAGAAAGGAGAGAACTGGAAATGCCTCTTTGCTTGTCTCCATATTTAGGAGTGGGAAGAGCTGTTTATCATGTCCTTTGCCTGAAAATAAGTCTGCTTAATGGAAAAAGCAAAAGAGAGTAGTGTAATAGCCAATTAAATATAACTCTGTAGAGAACTGGCCTTTAGCGCGCCATCTCCCTTGCTTTTTCTACTGAGAACTACTTCCCATGCCGTGGACATTTTCCAAGCTTCATCCGGGATGATTATTGACAGTAAAGGGAACCTCGTAATTCTAAAGCTCGGGTTCTTCGAGCAGTTGGATCGCATGTTTTGATTATGCTATTCCGTCCTCTGTTACGGTCGATCCAATATAGTTGAATTGCCTGAAAAAGCAGGACGGTTTGTGTAAAATTTTACGAACTGGATGAGGCGTGGAGAAAAAAAGGCTAAGCCGAATACAAGTGCGGTAGGGATGTCTTTTTAGAACGTGCGCAGCCGGGTCTTCCTCGATGCCTGCCTTTTCCTAAAGGTGGCTCTTTGTATCGGCAGCTGCATTCACAGAGTGCGCGGCTGGAGGGAAATCGGAGAGGAAGCGAGGCGGGGGCGCGCGCCAAGCCGAGCGGCTTCTACGTGCCAGATGTTAGCCCTGCCCCCTTGCGCCTGTTTGGCTGCCTCCGTGTGGCCGCGCTCAAGCCCTGTGTGAATCGAGGAGATCTGATGAGTTAGCTGGTTGCTATGGCGAGGAGCTGGTCACGTGGCCTGGGTGCTGCTCCCGGCGATTTGACGTCACCGGCCAGAAAGGAGGGGAAAGAAGACGGCGGCGAAGAGAGGCGGACAGAGTCGGTAGTAAAGGAAAAGCAGCAGCCCAGCCCGTTCCCAGCCTCTCCTCGCCCAGGCACCCAGGTTTTGGGCTGCTTGCTTTTGGGAGCGCTCCAATGCCTGGTCCTACTCAAGCGCTGTCCCCAAATGGAGAGAACAACAACGACATCATCCAGGATAACGGCACCATCATCCCTTTCAGGAAGCATACAGTGCGAGGGGAGCGTTCCTACAGGTAACCCGCTCTCTTTTCTCTCTCACCACCCGGTGTGCGAGTTTGGGCGTGCGCGCTGCGTGTGCGTCGTGCACACACACACACACACACCCCAACACACACACCCTTACCCCTTGGAGAATTGCTGCAGTGTCGGTGGAAAAGAGCAGGGTTGCAGGACATTGCATAATAAAAACAGCGGGGGCACCAAAACCTAATCTAGCGTGTCTCCTCATCAGCGTGTGGCATGTTTAGCAGTTTTAATGAGCTCCTTGCATTGTCTCGGCGAAAAACATCTTGTGAATATTCTTTCTGTCTTATAGAGGCGCTTTCCCTTTCTTTATTTTCCTGTCCCCCCCCCTCCTCCTATTTTTTCTCTCTTTTTATTTGCATAGCGAAAATAAGAATACGCATTCTGGAGTGAGTGCATTTTTTGTGTATAGGTATACACATGCACACACACACACAAAATCAAATAGTATTAGTGCTGGTGTTTTTCTTCATATTCTTTTGTAAAGCGGGCATTTGGAAGATCGCAAATGGCTGGGAGAGAAGAAAGAAGCAGACTTATATAATGGTTGCACTGCCTTGGTGTGCAGGAGGGAAAATGGAATCCTCCAGATTAAGCTGCAGTCTGTGATGTTAAATCACCAGATTGATAGAGCTTTGTAAGAAATGGAACCCCCTGATTGGTGGAAGCTTGACAGTAGAGGTCAGAGTGTCAGGAATATATTAAAAATCCTCTTAATACCGGGTTTGGAAACTAGGTGGACTGTACAGTAGCTGCCAAAAGAATAGGAGACACCAAGGATATAAATTGATATCCCTGTCTTTTTTCTTTAAAAAGGTGTTATTATGTTTCTTGTTTTGATAGAGACTGTTGGCTGTTTTCTTATCCATAGTTATAAAACATTTTTAATAATTGTTGGCATACACCTTTGGTAAAAGGTTTCCCTCTTTCTGCCCCTCCCCCTAGACACATTAGCATATCTGGCATGTTCCCCTAGATAGACTCATTAAGGTTGCTTCCATTTTCAATAAGGATAATAGTGTAGCTGAGAATGAGCCTCATGTTTGAGACTTTGCTTATCCCTGCATTCTGAAAAGGTAAGAATGGTTGAATAACACAACTGGATGCATCAATATCTTTATGTTTCTTCCTCACAACCTACAATCTTATCACTTTTTCTTTTTAAAAATATCATGCTCTGGAGCAAGCTTCTGAAAATGAAAATTTGTAAACATATTTGACAACGTCGTGAAATGTAAAATCAGAAAAAAAAGTGATCAGTTGAATATTAGTCTATGAATATTACTTTGAAGCAGTATTGCTGCATGCCATTAGCTCAGCTAAAACCAATCTCACTGTAGGTCCCTATTTTGTTCATGAATGGGTGAAGTCACAAAACATGTTTTAAAATATAAAACTCTGAATTATTTGTAAAATCCAAGTCCTTTTTCTTATATTGTTAACATCCATTCAGTCTGGACTAATTTGAAAAGCACCAATTGCTTAAACTTTTCCCTTGTGTTTTATATATAGCATCTGTTAGGTGTGGCACTAATTGGACCTTGAAAATGTGGAATAATTCCTGAAAATTTGAATTATTCTTGTTTAAGTCTTACTGAGAAGTTAGAACCTCTTATTTCTTATCTTCCATTCATTCCACGGTGCAGATTTCTGTTGGAAAATTTGTTTGATAAACATTTTATTGAAAAACTGGTCTGTCTAATGTTAATCTCATCAAGAACAGAACATTTAATGTTTGTTGATAAATTGTCAGAGATCTCATTGAAGATATCAGTCTTAATACTGTAATGTTACTACTGAAAATAACTTATTACTTGATTAACAGTATATACTGATTTTTTAAAAAAGAAAAAGACTTCTTTGCCTAGTTGAGAAGAAAATTTTATGTTGTAAAAGTCTAGACTACTGCAAAAATGTAACACATTATTTAGGGATAACTGCAAATATATTTTAAAGGATCATGAAAATGGTTTAGAAGGTAATAGGCTTGTGTTTTATTTATTGCCTTCTTCAACATGTTTTAAAGTTTTCTGAAATAAATATGGTACAGAAGCAAAATGTTCCTGCAGCACTCTAATTGCTACTACTTGATGGATGCTGTGTTTTATTTCTGACATATGCTAACTATGTGATTATAGATAACCCATGTCACATATTTGCCCCATCAATGGAGAAATATGAACAAGCCAAAAACACCAAAATACAAATTTATGACTCAGATTGGCATCTGAAAGCCAAATATTATTTGGTTCATATTTCACCAGGGTGCATTCTTAGCAGCCACCATGAAATTGTAATTGTTTCAGTTGGTCTGATCCTCTAAAGTATGCCAGGATCAACTGAAATGGAAGCCTCTGTATGAAAGTACCGTAAGCTGATATTTGAACAACTTCTGATCCATCAAAATGCTAACTATATGATTTCATGTATATTTAGTTCCAGAAGGAAAACAAACTAAGAATGTAAATTGTCCAGTTATGGTGCCACTTTGGCAATAATCTTTATTTTATTTTCATAGCATACTTATACAAACATAATTCGCATTTTATACAGTAGACTTACTCCCAGCTGCATCTCCATAGTGTTGTGATTAATAGATTGTGGTTAATAGATAACAAAAGTGTAACACACTTTAAGATAAAGATTAGAATTTTCTCAAATAATTTCCTCAAGTTTTGAATGCAGAGACACAAATGGGGTTAATCCTTAAAACTGAAATCAGATGCCAAATCGGAGGTGTACAAATTTTGTTCTTAGGGTCAAATACAACTTTCTAAAAACAGAAGTACGCCTTGCAAAAGTTGCCACAGAATTGAAATTTTAATATTCCAGTTTGAGAAATGTTCATATATGTGAGAAATAATGTTAACTATGTATTGAATTTTAAATTAAACCCAGGTTTTTATCCTTATCCTGCTCACATGTAGCAGTGTTTTGCCTGATGCAACACTTAAAACACCAATTGGCCCTCAGCCTCACGAAAGTTGTTCACTTCTGCACTCTTCTGGATGCAAAGTAGGACACAAGCTGTAGGTTTTCATGCTTATTTCTTTGATTTTGAGTGAGGTTTCTATTTCCTGTTTAGCTTTATCTCTAGGTTGCTATTATGCTTTATATGTTAAAATGTGGTTAGTAAATGTACCTTAAATGTGAAACTTCCTTGATTTTAATGCTGTAAAAACCCTTTAAAAGTGTTCTTCAGAGTGCTTAGAAGTAGCTACTTTGGAAGCTGTTCCCTGTTATCTCTCTTCATGCACAACTGTTTCGCTTTGCTGGGAAAAAAATGCTGATCAAATTGAGAGGAATGCTGCACAAAATGGGGAAGTGCAGAAGTGTAAGTTGTTGGGTCAACCAAAATATTGTTTGAATTAAGATTATCTTACGTTTTACTAACCCGAATTCTTAATTGAATACAAACGTGCTCAGGACTTTCCAGAGACTTTGTCAGCATTCACTTCTTGTGGGTATTATAACTGAGAACTGGTATCTGTCTCTATTTGTACTGTATTTTGAAATATAAACAAACCAACTTCTGTTGACATAATCTTTAAAAATAGATGCTAGCATTTATATTGCAGAATTTCACTTTCCCAGATGTAATTTTAATAAGTTCTTTGGTTAATTGGGGACCTAATCTTTAATGTATGCAATTTCCATTTTGGTAAGAGTTGATAAAGCATAGCCACTTGAAAAGGCTCCAGAAAACCAGACTAACATCTGCTTGATACTGCTCTACAAGTTCTCTGACATTTTAAACAGACCTAACAAGGAGTCTGCTTTTTTGTTTTTTCTATGGCTCTACACATGTTGGATACAGCCATATCTCTTATCTAATTTTTGGTGAACATTTCTTTACTATGGACTGGAAAGAAAATGGAGGATTAACAGTATTCTCTGCTAAGTGCATTAATAATTGTAAAGTCACACATCAATTGTAAAATTGTAAAGTGCACAACTCACCCATAGCTTGTGCGGCCTGGTTTCAAACAGGCACGGCCAGAGGGTTGGAGACCCCTGTTTTAGATGGCAGATGATTCATTTAGTTTTAAATTTATTGTAATCTTGTGAAATAAAAATTGCATGAACTATATTTGGATTAGTACTTAAAAACTTCAATTAATTCATAATTTGTAGTAGAATTCTTTTAAATTAATTCAGATTACTGCATGAATTCATAAATAGATTTTTCACAATTATATTTATTTTTTAAATTTATAATTTCATTTATTAAATTTTATATATAATTATTTTTTTAATCTAATGTCTAAATTGGGAATCTCCAAACTTGTCAACATTAAAACTTGTGGACTTCAGTCCCAAAATTCCTCAGCCAGCATGGCTGACTGAGAAACTATGGGAGTTGAAGTCCACAAGACCCCTGATCTTAATGGTCACGCCACCACTCTGGAATAATTACTTCAAAAAATAAATGAAAATGTGGATACTGAAAGTCCCTACAACCAAAGATTACTATAGTTTCTTTCCCTATGGCTAGCAAGGACGAGATGAGTTTGCATTGCATTTATGTTGCTAATGTTTAAGATGAAATGTTAATTTTTTTTAGAGTATAGGGGAGGAATTTATATTTGAAAAAGCAAAGAATTAGTTTTTGAGAAAGATATTCAATTGATATTGTTAATGTTAATTCTTTTTTTAAAAAAAATAATCTAGATAATATTCAAAAAAGTATTGTTCAAACTCCAGATAATTCGACTGTTTCATTTTTTATATTCCATTTTAGGCAATGTGCAAGCTGTGGGAAGCTATTTAAAAATACAACATTAAATCTTACGCTAGATTTTCTAGCCCTCATTATCACAAAGATTTGAGAACAATATATACTGCTCACAAAAATAAAGGGAACATTTTACCATGGAACTGAAGGGGTTTGCGTTCCCTTTATTTTTGTGAGCAGTATACTTTTTAAAATGCAGCAGTTAGGAACCAAATAGGCCTCTCATATATAGTTTCCTGTTGAATCTTGTGCTTT